AGAAGCTACAACTTGCAGAGGATTGGGCCACAAATCGCTATCTCATGTAACAAAATCCAAAACCCAAATGTTGCAGTTAGCATCATTATCAGTCTACAGGTTATTGTTGGATTTGTTTTCTCAGTCAATTAAAGAGTTAAAAGACAGGAAGAAAATCTCGGGAAAAATCTCAAATTAGTGGAGAGCAACAGCCAAACAAATTTTTATTGAAAGATAAAGAATCACATCCATACAGATGAAGAATCACACACACATACACCCATTCATACAGGAAGATGAAGCTTCCCACAAGTGGAAAGGGAACCAGGAAACTGAATCTGGAATTTAAAGGTTTGGATTGGTAAATGTAAACAAAGAAGTGGGTACTGCTAGGCTAATGGCTCCAGATGAGGAGGTGTCCAGGTCTATGACTCTAAGCAGGTCAGATGAAGGGCCCTATTGGAATAAAAATCATAAGGCCTTCCTGCCAGAGAAGGCCAAGAAGAAGCTGGAAGTGAGCTACCTTTATTATTTCTCTGTGGCCCTGTCAGGGTCCCTTACACAAAATGCAGTGTTTACTGGATTTTTATCAATTTTGCATTGTTATAAATATGAAAGATTGAGACTCGAATCCCTGTTCAGTTGGGGACTGTCTGTGATTTGATGCCAAGGTTCTTGGTGAGAAGGTATGCACTGGATATAATGCGAGTGGAGAAGGGCTTGCCTCTATTGCCTGGAGGCCTGGATGGGTGGGCAGATGCTGGGGATCTGAAGGAGATGATGCCTATGGTAGGATCATGTGGGAGTTACTCTGAGTAAAAAGAAAGGAATGGCAGTCCATGAATGAGAGTTACAGACAATACTTTCGGTGCTCTGAATGTGAAGTGTTCCCCTCTTCCTCAAATAGGCTCAAGTATTTAAACACTTGGTCAATTGGTGGCACTGTCTGGGGAGGTCGTGGAACCTTTAGGAGGTGTGGCCTTGCTGGAGGAAGCATGCCACCGGGGGCTGGCTCTGAGAGATCATAGCCTTGCCCACGTTCAGTTTCTTTCTCCCTCTTGCGTGTGCTCGAAGATGTGAGCTCTCAACTTTCTGTACCTGCTGCCCCCTGCCAGGCCTCCCCCATCATGACGGACTCATCCCTTAGGAACCATAAACCTAAATAAACTCTTCCTTCTCTAAGATACCTTGGTCATGGTGTTTATCACAGCAACAGAGAAGTAACTAATACAGTGCTGAATGGACAGTTTGACACTTGGAAAGTATGAAGATGAGGCAAGGTAGGGGTAGAAGGTGGAACTAACAGAAGTCCAGGTGCTCTGCCCATCTTCTATGTTCTGCTTAGAAATGTGGTTTCATGAAAGAGAGCTGAAAGGCTATCAAAGGGACTCAGGCAGGGGAGTTACATCTGTTAACTATGCACTAACAACACTATTCACTAATAAACCTGTGCAGTGGGTAATAAACAGCAACCCTGTGTCATCATGCACAGATGTGTGGCCCATGGCTCTGCTTCAGGCTACAGGTCTTCTGGTTGGCTGAGATGATCAAGTACAGGCCCCAGACTGATAGAGCAGTGTGGTTGTTCTATGCACCATTGGCTCTTGTCATGGTAATAAGTAAAAGTGCAGGAGCATCTATACATAGACAAACACCTCCAGAGACCTCATCAGAGAAGGGACGCACCATCAGGGCACCCACACTGCATTAGAGAAGCAAGTCATGTGTCCAAGCACAAGCTCACTGGGGAGAGAGACCAATTCTTCCTCCTTAGTGGGAGGCACCATGAAATCACAAGGAAATGATGGTGTGAATTTTCTAGGGAGGTTGTGAAAGATTGTGATCAAAGATTCAGTCTATTTGGGGGATGAAACAGCTGGACTTGAATTTTTCAGATAATTTGGGTTATTACAGAAAGTGGTTAAAGTAGAGTCAAAAGCACAGTGAGGAGGGTTAGGTGAGACCACAGGGAACTGGATTGAGCAACGGTGATCTGGGATGAAATAGTGTTGAACATTGCATGTAATGTAACTGTGAGGTCCTGATGACCTGTGGTCACTTCCAGCGAGTTTTCATACATTTCTGTTTTACTCAGAGTCCAGGTTTGCATAGGAGACTAGTTATCTACCTGGTATTCAATTTCTTCTTTCTTACTAAAACAGCTTTAATTTTACTTGTGATATTAGGCTAAGGCCTGACTTAAAACATAGGCCCTAGCTTCCTGGTGGGCTATAGCTATTAGTATATAAATGAGATTTGCTGGGCTACAGTACCAGGAAAACCTTTAAAAGGGCCTTTTGCCCATTTGCCATTTGCCCCTACTGTCTTTCTGTTGCAAATGTAGGTGACTGTTTGGAGCTCTGGCAGCTGTGTTGTGACCATAAAACCATCATACTGAGAATGGCTGAGCAGGTAGCAAGGTCTTGACGGCATTACAATGATGCTGCAGTTCTAGTCCTCAACTATTAACTTTAGAATACCAGGTATGAGAAAAGAAAAAAAAAATATGTCTTCTAGTGACTCTTTCTTTTCTTTTCTTTTTGATTTTTAGCAGCCAAGTGAAGTTCTCAGCTGCCACCACCTAAGACCTTAGCAACATAAAGCAACATTATTCATTCAATAATCATTCTTAGAAAACAGTCAAAATTAGAAACATTAAAACTTTATGAGGGGGCTGGAGAGAAGGCTTAGCTGTTAAGAGCACTTGCTATGCTTTTTCAGAGGACTGGAGTTAGGTTCCTAGCATCCATATCAGGCAGTACACAGCCGATATCCTCTTCCTCCTCCATGAGCACCAACACACATGAGCATACACACACCACACACAGAGGCACACACAGACACACACACACACACACACACACACACACACACACACAGATGAATTGTAAATAAAATGTTGTCAGGGTGCTCTAGCCCAACTGTATGCTGCTGCTACTGGGAATACGCTCAAGGGGAATTTTTCTTTGGCTTCCAGTTCTTCCATGTAGCCATCTGCCAGCTTTCTAATGTCTACAAAGGGTTAAGTGATCCTGAGGGAGTAAGCAGAGCAAGCAATGGACTCTTGTGGTATAGGCAAAAGTATAAGTGGTGTCCTAGACATGCAGCTGGAGCTGCCCTGACCACTGTGAACTTGACTTTGAGGGGTAAGTGATGAAGCACTTAAATGCATTTCATCTCCCAGCTGCCTGAGCACCAATAACTTTAGGTGATTCCTTGGAGGACAAGAACTAACAAGTAACACAGATAAGGCTAATAATCATCCATCTTGCATTTTGTCTTTCAGTCCCCCAACTGGTCTTAGGGGCTGTGCTGAAAACATTCTGTGGGTTTGAGAGAAAGCGGAGATGTTAAAGAAAAATTGCACCAGACACAGCCAAGACTATCTCAACGGTGGAGAGCGGTGGGACCAAGTCCCTGAAACAAAAGGATGGGGTGGTTGGTTGGTTGTGCATTTAAGTGAGCTGGAGGAAAGCTCTGGAGGATGTGCTGGGGCTTAATCTTCACAAGAGGCCATGGAGAGTGCTTTGCTGAGTCTCTTGAAGTCTGACTCTTCCTCTCCACTGACATGGGAAAGGGGGGCCATTTTTCTGATGATTACATTCAAAAGGGCTGCCTCTAGGTCCTGAGAAAGGCATTTCTGGGTTGTAAATCTGACAGGAGGCGGGTAGGGAGAAGAGTTAGATTGCAACGGGTCAGCAAAAGATTTTATAAATGAAAGTCTAGGGAAGCAAATGCTTTGAGAAAAAGGAGGTCAGGGACTCAGAGTGCGGAAGAAGCCTGTATCACATGTATCAGGAATGCCAAGTGCCTTGGTCAGCAGTACCATTTTCCTTGCTCTCCATGAAAGTCAGGTCTCAGTTCCTAGCTGGTCATCTGTTAACAGGTGGCAGCTCTACAGAGGACATACACACTGCCCAGCTGAAGGGACACTGAGAAGCCCAGGGTGGGTTGGAGTGTAGGATCTCTCAGTTTTCTTTATCTGACCCCTTCCCAGGACAATGTGCCCTCATTTCTTTTAGGAAAGAAAAAGTGCATTTTCAGCAATTCCATTCTACTTGAGGCTAGCCCAAAGACAAAACCCAAAGTGACTCCTTCCAGAAAGGGCCATTGGAAACCATCCAGTGTCACAGCAACCTGTAGCACACAGGAAACAGAAATCTCCTTGGCTGGTGTTTTAGCTTGCCTAAGGCAGTCTTTCTTAGCTGAGGGTAAGCTACTGTGCAGACCTTAAAATCCGGGCCTCAGGGAGCTGCAGTTGAAGCTATTTTATTTTCTTCTAAAGGCCTTGATATTTCTCAAACAAAAATTTAAAAGGTCCAGCACTTTCCCTGGGAGCTTCTTCATAAAGTGGTAGATTCTTAGAGAAGACAAAGGCCTAGGGCAGGTTGGATGGTTCCTAATCAGTAGTGCCCAGTAGCCTCTTTCTAGCTTTTCAAAGCATTAGGAATTTTTGACCTCCCCCTTCCCGCTCTCTCTCCTCTACTCCAATTCCTCAAAGTGCTCATCATAGCTTGCCCATCTTTCTCCTCCCCAGTCCCTCCAAGTACTGAGCGCCTCTCATTTTGGTCAGCTGCTGACTGCCCTGCCTGGTGGGGGTAGAGGTGGGGGTAGGGGTG